ACCTCACTGATGTGTGGGCTCTGCCTCCATGGTCTCCCAGCTTTGTTTTCATCATCTCTAATCTCAAGGGTTTCACGGCCCACCTGCACTCCCAGCCCCAGGCAGCCTTTGGGCGGCTCTGACAGAAAGTTTTTCCTTAGGTTGAGTCAGTATTTGTCTCCTGGTAACCGTCACACAGCTTTATGGAGCTAATCCCGTTCTTTCGCATGACAACCCTTCAGGTACTGGAAGTCAGCTCACGGGCGACAGGCAAGTAGGGATAATTTTAGCCTCGCATTGCACAGGGGAATACTGGGCAGTCCGGGGACGAATCTGACTTCAAGAAGGGACTCTATTCGACACTGAAGACACGGTAGGCGTGTCTCACTTTGGATTTATTTGGATTTTAACCACTAGCCTTAATAATTTCACTGGACTTTATAAAGCACTTTAGTATACATTATTCCGCAGTGTCCTCACATTGACCTGGTGAGACGGTTCGGCATGATTTATTACTTCCGCTTTGTTCATAAATAAAACAAGACTCTGAGAGGTGGTGTGCTCAAGGTCACACAGATAACATCTGGTTGAATTGGTCTTCTCCCTTCCATACAAGTGGTCCTGCATCCATTTAGTCCCTCCCATAATCTACCTGTGGCCTCCCCCTAGATTTATCTTAAAATATTGACTACATTGTATTGCTCCCTTTATCAAAAATCCTCAACAATTCCTCTTACATTCCAGGGTTAACCTCCAAGCCCTTAGAATGACATTCAAGGCTCTCAAAATTGTCGACTTGCTTGGAGTTTCAGGGATAGCGGGATGGGTGGATGAAATACCAATAAACCATAAACTGAACTATACCAGTGATAGTTCAGCAAGAAATATATACAAAGGGTATCTTGAGAACACAGAGGAGCAAGGTGAAGGTCACAGGGGGATTCCAGGAGTTAGGGATGCCTGGGATGGACTTTAAATACATGCATACCAGTAGAAGGCTAACAGGAGCAAAGAGGCCTTGGAGGAGAGAAACAGCCTGGTGGCTGTATGCAGGACACCATACAGAATGTGCTGGACAGGTAGGTACAAGGCTGGACTCAGAGAAGGATTAGGCTATATGGGAGGCAGGGCCGCTTCCTGTCAGCTGTCAGGTTAGAGGCTTTGGACGTTATCCTGCAAACTTCGATGTGCCAAATAGGATTAAAGCAGGCCAGTGTCAACAGCATTTGGTGGCCCCGGCTAGGAGGGTGGACTGGAGTCCGAAGTCGATGGGATGGACGGGAGCCAGTCTGGCTAGAGATGAAGTAAGGAAACTGTTGCCATGAATCAGGGGAGTAAAGACAAAGGGCAGTGGAGGTCATCACAGGAAGAGGAAGGATTTTCAAATAATTTAGGAGAGAAAAGCAAACAAATCTGATGACGGGGTGCTTGTAGAGATAAGGAGAGGGAGAAGTCAGGCTGCTAATACGCTCTCAGGAGCCTCCAGGTTGGGAGGAACATAATGGCGCTACTCACTGCTATTTCCACACCTGCCCCAGACTTCAAGGAAGCGCTGCAGGAAGGAGGTGTGTAGTACCTACTTGTAGGTGCGCTAATTTACTTAGGCTAGTAACAAAGAGCTCCCTCTCATCTTGGTGGGGTGGCCAAGACGACTGGCCAGTCACTTACACCCGTTCCCTCTCCTCCCCCAGGTATCCTGCGGGACTTGATTTCCTACGGTTAGGTGCGGCCATGCAACAGGGCCCTGATATTCAAGCCTGAATGATGTGTGGGCAGTACTCCTTCACATTTTATCCTTTCTGCCAACTTGAGGCAGAAGAACCTGATGGAGACTTGAGAGGGAATGAAGGTCCCTGTACTGTGTGCAGAAGAGATCTGGCCATCAGCCAGGAACACCCATTTTAGACATGAGTGAACAAAAAGTAAATTCCTCTCATGTTTGAGCCATTGTGCATAGAATTTCTTTGTTACAGCAGTTAGTCCCACGTAACCAACTCACCTTTCCTGTTTCCTACCTCACGTGGGTAGGAAAGAAGGGGGCGTTTAGTACATAGCTATTTGTGCCGGTCACTGCACTCGGTATATTTATGTACATCAACCCCTTTAATCCTATAAGTGCTCGGAGATGTTTAAACGCTCCAGTTTTGCAGAAGAAAGGAAAAATCCCTGAAGTGTATTGCTTTTGCTCAAGGTTATACCGTGTTCCCTTAGAGACATCCGTGAGGCTGTGCAAAACAGATTTTTTTCACTGTTTTTGGATTTTCTTTTTCAGCGTTATCGAGATACAATTGACATGTAACATTGTGTAAGTTTAAGGTGCACAAGGTGGTGGCTCACTCTGTGTGTATATTGTGAAGTGATTTTACTACGATAAGGTTACCTCAAATTGTTCCCTTTCTTGGTGTGCGTGGTGAGAACTTTCAAGATCTACTCTCTTCCAACTTCCAAGTAAACAACACGGTATTGTTAACTATAGTCATCACACTGCATATTACATCCTAAGAACTTATTCATCTCATAACTGGAACTCTGTACCCTTTGAACACCTACAGTTTCTTAGGAAATTCCTTGTCTCTATGTTTCCTACCACACTTAGAAAGTAGGATCATGATCAAGAAGAATAGAAGGTGGAAGAGGAACAGAGGGAGAAAAAAAGTTCATCAGTTGAACCCTTCGTTTGTTTATGTCTAACATCGGTAAATATCAGCTATATTCAAGAGCATGTGCGTGGGGCCGAGTATGTATGTTCACGGTGACTGAAGCCATTACCGATGAGTGCTTTTGAAAGCAATGCCGTCCCTCTGTTGGCCCGGTTTTCATATCCTTTCCTTCCATTTTGGGTCTCTGTGCTTTAGTCACTCTGGTCTCCTTTCAGTTCCTCAAAGAAGAGCTGCTCCTTCTTGGCTCTATGACTTTGCAAGTGCTGTTTCCTTTGCCTGGAGTATCACTACCCTCATTCAGTTGGCTAACTTGTGCTCATCCTTCTCCTTTCCCTTGAAGCATCATTTTCTCAGGGAAGCCCTCTTTGACCCCGAGGTTGTGGTATGTCCCTTGATAGCACTCATTGCATTCTAAACTCCTGTGGGGCAGTCATCAGAATTTTGATTATATAATCACTTTTACAGTTTGGTGATAGTAGTCCAGTCTTTCCCAGTAGACTCTCAGCTCCATGAGGGCAGAGATGGAGTCCCTCTGGTTGGCTTCTCTATCCCCAGAACCTAGTTAGAATGCCAGGCACATAGCATTCACTTCATAAATTTTGGGTGAATGTGAAAACAACGAAGGTTTTTCTCTTAGTAAAATAATAAAAAGCAAACCTAAAGAAAGGCTAGTCTTCCAAATGGCTTTCTGGGAAACATACTACACATGCGAAATTCTGAAATGAATCAGGCCACTTAGTAATTTGAGACTGACTTAAATCTAAACCAAGTAAGGTACTGTTCCATTTCACAAGTAAAGAGGCAGAGTGCATGAAGGTCTGACACGGATCCCCCCTGGCCGTGAGTCAGTGATGGGGGCCTCTATCACTCTCATCTCTCCCTGCTCACTCTGGGTACCTTCTGTTGGATGCTGACTTTGATGGAGACTTGGGAGCCGTATGGCAGTGAGCCCCTTGTCCTAAAGGAAAGGGGAAGAACATTAGAGGTGGAACCCTGGCTCAGCTACTGTAGGTGCTGTGTGACCTTGGGCGACTCTGAGCCTCCACTTCCTAACTTGTAAAATGGAGAGAATCTGCTTGTAGGGACGTTTGCAAGGCTCAAATGTGCCAATGTGGTTGGAAGTGCTTTACAGAGAGACTGGCACTTAGCAGGTGCTCACAAAATTTTAACTGGCATCTAGCACTTTCCCAGTATTGGGGTTTATTTCAGATGCTTAGGACATGTTTCATGTGAACTAATAAGTCAGCAACTCCATTAATAAAGAAAAGAAAGACTTTCCCTTTTGCTGGTGGATAAAAAGGCTGATTTAATTCCTCGCCCAATGACAGAGATCTGAAGACAATGATTTGATTCCCTAATCGTGAACGTGCCCCTGCTTCACAAAATGTGAGATGCTGAGTAAAGAGCAATGCCCTGGTGGGGCCGCACTGCATGAAGCCACTCTTTAAAAGAGCTTGTGAGTGCTCTGTTCATCATTAGCAGATGTGATGTGGTGAAGGAGTTTGTTTCTCCAGATTCAGACATTTTTGAGGACTTACTATGTGCCAGGTACACCCTGTTGAGCACTTTTCACATGCTGTTTTGTTTACTTCCTACCCTATTTCTCTGATGAATCTATTATCATCCCTATTTTCATGATAAGGAAATTCAGATTCAAAGCAATTAACGTGTCCTCAGTCGCACAGCTAGTCAGTAGCAGAGCTGGTGTTTGGATCCATGTCTGATGCCAAATCCCATGCATTTCCAGATACATTATATTCTCTTCCTAGTAAAACACATTCCATGGAGAGCGAAGACCAAAAGTATGGATAAGAAAACCTAGTCCGGATTTATTATTAATAATACAAAATATTATCACCTGATAGCTTCAGAAACAACCAGTTTCCTTTGGAATGTAGTACTTTCCATTTTCTTTTCTAGAAGCTCGGTGGTTCTGATTTTCTCTATTTGATGGTGCATGAAAGCCCCTGGGTAGAAAGCTGTTTAGTGGAGTGGAAAAGGGTCAGACTGGGGACTGTTTCTAGCCCTGAGCCTCTCCTCTGCGTGACTTTGGGAAATTCATTCAGAATCTTTGAGCCTCGTTTTTCTTATGTGTGAAATGAGGACAATTATGCTGCTTACTCACCTACGTGTATGAATTTTGTGAGGTCCTATCAAGATGACTGTTGTGCCATGTTATGCAAAAGGCTCCATGTTATTGCTCTAAGGCAGAGTCGTCACTCTGTTCCCACTTTCTCTCTGCCTACAGATTCCCTTGGCATCCCACACCTGATGAGAATTTACGGCTAGTTGGATATAACAGCAAAAGCTCTCTCCCTGTGACTTACATGCATCCTGATGTATTTCAATTTTTGCATACAGGAAGGTTTTCTAGTCGGAGGAGATGCAATTCTACTTTGAGGTTGTGGACTCGAGGCGCCACTAAACGGAGATTCATGTGCTTTCATTGACGTAAAGTGAATCCTTCATTTGTGGACAACTTTGCTGCCCAAACCCAATCTGCTACTGCAGCCAATGGGCTTATCTGGTGAGTCTTGTCACTGTCAGAATCAAAGCCAAATATGGCAGGGACTAATGATTTCACTGAGGTGGTCTTTCCTGTGACCACAGAAACCTGCTTTGGGGGTTTCTGTCACTATCAGAGACCCTTGATGGAATTACAGCCCCTGAGTTCATTTTTGTTCTGGTTTATTATCTGGATAAGCTCCGTACCCAGCTCTCTTTGCCTTATCTGAGGGAGCCAGAGCCAGCGGTGGGTGAGTCATAGGATCTGGTCAATTGCGTTTCCACAATTTTATTAGAATGACTGGGTAGATTAGCTCTGTAAAACATGGAATAAGTGTCTTGGGCATTCATCAGAGTCTCCCACAATTCCTAGAATAATTTTGTATTTTTTTCACAGAAGCGTCTGTGGAAAGAGAGCAGGGGAGCCAGGAGACCTGAGTTGCTGGATCGTGATTCTGCTAATCCCAGGGGGTAACCTTGAGTATGGCCAGAACACTTTTGGTCGTGGCTGGTGGTATGGACAAAGTTCCATAGAGCTCAGGGCTTGGCCAGAGAGGGGCAGGGAAAGTTTCTCTAGGGGAACATTTGAGAGTAGGGTTTTCAATTATGAACTTAATTTCACCAGGCAGACAGAGGAAAGGGCAAGGGGTTTTCAGAGAGAGGAAGCTGACCGGACAGAGCAATGCAAAGTGAAAGTCGGTGAAGGGTCTCAGGAATGGCATCTTTGACTGTGGTGAGAAGGAAGGTTGTGCTGTGGAGCCTGGAGAGGCAGGGGGTAGAAGCCAGCTCGTGAAAAGTCTGGAGGACCAAGCTCAAGTGGTTGCTCTGGGCAACTGGCAACTCCCAAAGGCTGCTGAGCATGGGGAAGTGGGGAGGGAACGTGATTAGAATTTGTTTTCATTAAGCAGTCGACACCCAGTATGAGACCAAAGGGATCATTTGTTGCTCTCATTAGCCCTGCATAATAAGTGAACGACCATTGATCTCCCCATTTAGCAGATGAGGAAGCTGAGGCTTGGAGAGATTAAGTGTTCAAGGACACACTACTCAAGGAAAACAGAAGATAAAAATAATTCATAATTCATACTTCTGCCGGATAGGATTCCATTGAATTCTTATAAACTTCAGTTCGAGATTAGGTAACATTTGCTCTGAGGCATTACCAGGGTTTAGACATTCATCCAAGATTCTGAAATGGAAAGAGGCCAACACTGCATAAGTAAAATTCAGAGTCATTAGTAGAGATATCATTAGGCCTCTCTTTTAATCATTTCTTAGAGCCAATGTATCATTCTTTTCATTGGCTCTAGGGGAGGCTGGAACTTGTCTGAAGGTGGGTGTGCAACTAAAATTTTTGTAACATTTTCTGTGTCAGCTCTGCTAATGCGGAGTTCATCCACTGATGTTAATGCCACAGTGGAGGTCTAGAAGATTCTGGGAGAGCAAAAGAGATTTTAGTCTTTACAAATACAGTAGTTGGCCCTTATCCATGGGGGATAACATTCCAGGAAACCCAGTGGCTGCCCTGAAACCACAGATAGTACTGAACCATACCATGTTTTTTCCTTTATACACATACCTATGATAAAGTTTAATTCCTCAATTAGGCACAGTAAGGGATTAACAACAACAAATAATAATAAAATAGAACCATAATAAAAGTTATGTGAATGTGGCCTCCTTCTTTCTCCCTCTCAGAGTAGCTTATTGTACGGTACTCACCCTTCTTCTTGTGATGTTGTGAGATGATAAAATGCCTATGATGAGAAGTGAGGTGAATGATGTAGGCATTATGACATAGTGTTAGGATACTCTTGACCTTCTTTATTATTATTATTTCTTGGCGGTACGCGGGCCTCTCACCGCTGTGGCCTCTCCCGTTGCGGAGCACAGGCTCCGGACGCGCAGGCTCAGCGGCCATGGCTCACGGGCTCAGCCGCGCGGCGGCACGTGGGATCTTCCCGGACCGGGGCACGAACCCGTGTCCCCTGCATCGGTAGGCGGACTCTCAACCGCTGCGCCACCAGGGAAGCCCCCTGTTGACCTTCTGATGATGCTTCAGAAGGAGGATCATCTGCTTCGGGTGACCCTGGATCATGGAACTGTGACGATGTTGATGATTGGATGCCGGGAACAAATGATGGTGATGGCTGGGGATCCCAGGCAGGATGGAGTGGAATGGCACGAGGTTTCATTAAGCTACTCAGAACGGCACAAAATTTACATATCGATTGTTTATTTCTGTGATTTTTCGTTTAATATTTCTGGGTCAAGGTTAGCCATGGATAACTGAAACCTAAGAAAGTAAAACCACAGATAAAGGGAACAACTGTACCTCCAGAGAGGGGGATGCTTTTACACATACTTGCAGGTGAACTCCAAGAATCCACTTGCCTGGCTCGAGTTTAACAAGGGTTACAATGTTGCATCTCAGGGCAGGAAAGAGTAGGACAATGAAAGAACCGGAATTTTTTTCCCCTGAGTTGTATTTCCAACGATCATAAAAATGAATTCCTGCTTTTGGGCATGGCACTGGGAGTTGGCCGGTAAGGGTTGAAATACTCACTCCCAACTCACAAGTATAAACTTTGGGAAGTCACTGACCTGCCATGAATCTCAGTTTACACAACCTTAAGGTAAATTTAATGTCCCCCTCCGTATAGAGGTATTGTGAGAATGCAGTTTGCAAACATACATCTAGCGTGGGTCCAAAGTACTTATAAAAAATTATGGAAATTTGGAATTAGTTCTTTTCCTCAGGTCCTGGATGTTTTAATTGGTTTTTGTTCTCCATAAGATTTTACTACAGTGACTAATTTTCTTTTGTCTGCTAGATTCCTCTCCAGTGGCTTGTGACACTGCTTCAGGAAGACTTTCCCAACACCTGAAGAATTTCTATGTTCCTTTACCCAGTCTGGGATGTCTACTTACCATATTGCCAGCTTCTGGACCTGTTGTGTCTGGGATGCAGGCTGAACCAAAGGCAGGTATCCTTCAAGGCATCCAGATATAAAAATAAGTACGTCATTGAGATTAGGAGGAAGTTCACATTTTGGGGCTCCCCAAAGTAACTTTTTCCCAAGATATAAATGGCATTCTAAAATGTATGAAAACAGACTTGATAGAAAACCAAACTAAAGCTAGAACTTAGTTGGAAAGAGGTTTATTTTTCAAATATATAAACTAAACCATTGTACATCTATTACAAAAGCACTAGGAATCTATAGCAAAAAATGAGTCAAATTCTAAAATATCACAAGTTTCTTTTCAAAATGTGTTGGTGCACTTTCATCGTCATTGGGTTTCAATTTAATGTCTTCTGCTCTTGAAATTAACACCTCGTCTCTTTTTCTTATCCACAGCTACACCCACCCTGTGCTCTGGGTTGCTCAGAAATTCCAAGAAATTCCAAGTTTCCTGCTGCCTCACTGGCTGGAACAGAATGGAATGTGCACCACTGCTGATAATAACAGGAGAGGCCCCAAACCACAGAGGCAGGCAGCCCCGGGGTAAATCCTTGCTCCACCACTTCACGCTGAAAGATATTGTACAAGTTACGTAGCTTTCGTCATAGGTCAGATTTCCTGGGAAAGAGAGTCTAGGTCTCTGAGGGTTGCGTGGAGGAGGCTAACTGGGGAGTGAGCTCAGAAACAACGGCAACATGGGGAGGGATGCTAGACTGGGCAGAGGGAGAAGCTGTACCATGATGCAGTTTCAATGGAGATGTCCAGCAATCCCACAGGGAGCTGGCGTGGCCCTTCAGAGTTGTCCCAGCTGAGGACAAATGGTTAGGCTTTTGTACTTCCATGTTGGCCAGTCATAGATGCAGGCTGCCTTCTGAGAAATGGTCTGGGATGAAAGCTCTCTTTGACTGAGTCTTGGAGCAGCAGCTAGAGGTCCTGGTAGTAGGCGGAATGAGTGCCTACATCCTGAGGTGTATCTGGGCAGCCCACCGTACCTGTGCCTACGTGTTCAATATATCAGAGATCAAGGAAGTCTCCTTGGCCACTCTACCTGAAATTGCAACCCCTTAATCTCATATCCCCTGTACCCCATCTTACTTTTATCCATGGTATTTATCATGAACTGACATACATTTTTTTAAAGATTTTTTTGATTGGACCATTTTTAAAGTCTTTATTGAATTTATTACAATATTGCTTCTGTTTTATGTTTTGGTTTTTTTGGTCACGAGGCATGTGGGATCTTAGCTCCCCGGCCAGGGATCAAACCCGAACTCCCTGCATTGGAAGGTGAAGTCTTAACCACTGGACTGCCAGGTAAGCCCTGAACTGACATCCTGTATGAGAATTCATCTATTGTCTTTCTGGAAATGCTCTAGAACACACTCCAAGCTACTTGAGGGCAGGGATTTTGTTTTACTCATGACTATATGCCCAGTTCCTAAAACAGGGATTGGCACAGATTGAACGCTCAATAGATATGTGTTAATTGAGTGGAATAAACCCTCAAGTTCTAAGCACTTGCAGTAGCTAATATAATCTTCACGACAACCCCACGGAGGCGCACAATCATTAACACAATTCTGCCGATGAAAACACTGCGGCACAGAACTTTTTTTTTTTTACGGTACGCGGGCCTCTCACTGCTGCGGCCCCTCCCGTTGCGGAGCACAGGCTCCGGACGCGCAGGCTCAGCGGCCATGGCTCACAGGCCCAGCCTCTCTGCGGCACGTGGGATCCTCCCGGACCGGGGCACGAACCCGCGTCCCCTGCATCGGCAGGCGGACTCTCAACCACTGCGCCACCAGGGAAGCCCCACAGAATGTTTAATTATCTTGCCAAGGTCTTTCAGCTTAGAAGTGCTGTATTCAGGATCACAACCAGGCAACGGGATTTATACCATTGCCTGGTATGGATACAGCTGGTCCTCCATCCGAGCGAGTTGGCCCTACCCTTCCTCCTCTCCCCTTTCTGCTGTCTCGTAGAATACATGTCCAGTAATCACATCATCGCATGCTCCAGATATTTTGTTTTATCGCTTCAGACCAAAAGGCGAGAGCTCAGCTGAGTTCCAACTTCTGCCCTTTCTTCCCACTTTCTCAATATTATTACCTTAGAACCTGATCAACTCGCACATCTTTTTTTTTTTTTTTTCTAACACTGCCATTGACAGATGCAGACGCAGAGGCTATTATGGTTTATGGTGCTCTTCTGCGTGCATTATCTCATTTGATTAGCCCAGTAGCCTTGGGATATGGGCCATACAAGGATGGCCACCTGCAGTTTATAGATGAGGAAGCAGAGGCTCAGAGAGGTTACATAAAGCTATTTGGAAGCAGAATTTTTAGTTCTAAGTCCCACGTTTGCTCTAATTTGCACTTTCTTTTTCCTTGTTGGGGCCCGGAGGGTAGAAGTTAATCCCGAAGCATTTCTGCCCTCCACATTTATTGAAAGTCACTTGGAACATTGGTGAGTATTTATCATTGGCTTCTTCCTACTTGACAAGTGGGGAAACCGAGGCACAAAGAGGTTACATGATTTCCTCAGGTTTCATACTGATGTCATTGGAGCTGGGATATTAATTTCAAAATTCACGTGCCTGTACCCATTAGCACGCTCACTGCTTCTAAGTTAACAATTCTGGGGTCTATTTCAAACTTCCATCCACCTTTCCTTGAGTAATGTAATAGGATTCATATTTAACATTTAAAAAAATAATGCTAGTTAAAAATAGAAAAGCCCAGTTCACTTTAAATGCACTCAGGATGCATTACCTCTCTGCCAGCCTGAAAAGATGTCTAAGGAGACAGTGCTGGCAAAATTTACGTATTATAAAGAGCTCCTTTTATCCAGTTACATCGTCAAAATTTCATGGCATCTTTCAGAGGCCCAAGGAGAGCAGGAACATTTATTCTCCTCTCTGAATTTAATCATAAAGACATCAAGGTCGTCTTCCTGAGGCTGAGCTCCAGGCCACAGATTCCAGACTGGAGAAAAGTAACTTGAAAGAGCCTGTTTTACACAGGCCAGTGGAATGCTTTGTTTTTTTGCTTCTGAGCCTCCTAAGTGGACGCAGATACACAGAAATAAATATTTACTTCATGAGAGGGATGGTTAGGAGAATAAATGTTAAAGTTCTGTCCTTACAGTGGAGAAACTCAACTGAGAAACTCAATTCAGTTCGTGGACTCTCAGAGCTCCTTATGGCCCCGGTTTGAGAACCATCATTCCAATTAAAGTGATGGTAGCTGTGGCAGTTTTAAGACCTGTCTACATCTTCTTTCACATGCCATCAAGAGGTGAAGTCTAGTTCTCCCTCTGGCTTGAAATGGGGCAGGAATTTATGGCCACCTTGACAAATAAAATGTGAGAGAAGCGACCTTAAGTCATTTATAAAACTAGGCTAGAAACAGTGATGCAGCTTCAATCTGGCTGTCTCTTAGGACATGGCTTTTGGATGGCTACCCTGGCCATGCTGGAGAGACCACGTGGAGAGAGAGGTGCCTGAGGACCCTACTCGATGCCACATAGAACAGAGATGAGCCTTCTCTGTTGAGTTTGGTCCAAATTGCATATTCATGAACTATGTAAATTGTTACCGTTTTATTTACACATTGCATTTAGAGCAGTTTGTTGCAGAATAACAGATAATCTTAACAATAGCCCATGCCATAGATGACCTGCTGGAATGCGAGTCATAGTTCATAGAATTGAACAGGTATGAATCCAGCACCTTGCATCTGGATTTAAATAACCATTTATACAATGCATTGAACACAAGAGTCACTTCACAGGTTTGTTGAATGAACTGATGGGCGAATGAGTAAAGAGTCTTGGGGGAGATCTCTCTCAGTAGAATAACACTTGGGGTTATAACTGACCACATTTCTAATTGAAGCCATAGGTTGAGG